TTGGGTGGGTTTTTTAATCTTTTCAGCAATTTCTCATGCTACTAATGTGAAATAACACCTTTATTTATTTTTAATGACAATGATAATCTTAAGAAGAAAAGATTATTACGTTTCCATAATTTCTTAAGTAGTTAATAAGGATATGTATTCCCTTCTAGAACCAGTGAGTTGCCTTGGGGCAAAAATCTTTTTTATTTCTACTATTCTTTAAAAATCCAACAGTATATGATGTTAAATTGTTACTCTGTCACCCAGGCAATGCAAAGGAAGTCAAGAAAGAGACCACTTGGAAACCATTTGGAAAGAATTAGTTTCACGGGGATATTTTCAGCCTTTGGATATATGTTAAGAGCAAACTTAATACTCTGTTATTCTTCTGGGTCATGCAGGGATTGTGATTCTAAGCATTGCTAAATGTATTACTTAACCATTGTTTGCAAATTGGTTGCGGACTTGTTGCAGCAAATATTGCCCAACTTAATTTCTTCAGGATAAAACCTTAAATGACCTTTGGTGAAAATATTTGAATTGCACTTCAGAATTATAGAATGGGTTGGAAGGGACCTCAGCCCCCCATGGGCAGGGACACCTCCACCAGCCCAGGCTGCTCCAAGCCCCGTCCAACCTGGCCTTGGGCACTGCCAGGGAGGGGACATCCACAGCTTCTCTGGGCAACCTGGGCCAGGGCCTCACCACCTCACAGAGGAGGATTTCATCCTAATATCCAGTTTAAATCTCCCCTCTTCCAGTTTAAAACCATCACCCCTTGTCCTATCACTGCCTTCCTAGAAGTGCACTCTATGTCCTTTGCTGCTCTCTCTTTTTTTTTTCCCCTCTTTTTACATATGCAAATAGCATTGAATTACCATTAATATAAGGGCATTCTTCTATAGTGATTGTATTATGAATGAGTATTTGCCGTTTGTGAAATAGTGGCATAAAAAAAACCACCAAGAAAGGTTAGTGGGGTAGCTGTTTCTCCTCATCATAACTGATTCATATTTATTTGGACCATTTAAATTGTTTGGCATTTTACTTATTTCTTACAATAAATTATTTAATTTATTTTATACTGTACAGTGTAGAATTAACTCTCTTCTAGACTATTCCCAAATATATTGTTTTGTTGTTTTGCAAGATGAATAGTTGTGCCTGATAAAGAAAGTCTTGGATAACTGATATCGTGCCTGGTTTATATTTGAACTCAAAGACAGCATGTATTCTTGAGAAGCTAATGATGGACCATATAGGTCATATTCCTTATATGATTTTGCTAGATTGCAAGTATTGCAACCTTTTTTAGCTTTTAAAGTTCATGAGAGCTTGAAAAATGGTTCAGTTTACCTCTGGATTTTGCATAGTGTTAGTTGTGCAGAATTTTTGCTTTTGTCCAATCATACTCATTTAATCAGTTAAATTCTGTAGCGCATCAGCAGGCTCTAATAAAAATGCTTATATGTGTTTAATGACTATGCTTTTGAAGTTACTGCTTTTATGAGGTGTGTAGCTTATTTTTAACTTCCCTTTAGAGGAATAATAATTAAGGAAAATAGAGATAGTCTTGTATATGCAAACAGCACGATGGAGAGACTTTTTACTTGCCATTAAGTCCAGTCATTTCAAGGATATTGCAATTTTTTTCTGATAGTCCAAAAATATTTGGAATGTTCTAAAGTCACTTTAAGCTATTGTGGGCATGGAGACAGAAATATTTTTGTTGTGGTTGTTCATGTATTTTCTTTAATTATACTTTGACGTGGAAAGTGACATCAGCATTCAGTAAATTCTCATCTCATTTGCTGAGGTTGTGGCCATTGTAGCTGGTATCTCTTCTCCCATGTAACTAGTGATAAGACAAGAGGAAATGGCCTCAAGTTGTGCCAGAGGATGGCTAGATTGGATCTGAGGAAAAATTTCCTTACTGCAAGAGGTCGTAGAGTCTCCATCCCTGGAGGTGTTCAAGAAGCCATGGATGTGGCACTTGGTTGGACTTGATGATCTTGGAGGTCTCTTCCAACCATAACGATTCTGTGATTTGATGGTGCTCGGTTTTAGTCATTACACTTGGGCTCTGCACCATTTGGGGTTGTCTGGAGGGAAGAAGAAAAGATGATTTGAAGTCTGAAGAAGATGAGATGTGAGAGAAAAGTAGGCAAAATAATCTCTCATTGTGCATGTGGACAGAGTGTAAAGTAACATATGAAACAGAACCAAGGGAGGTTTTATGTAAGTTTAAAAAGGACTAAAATGGGAAGAAATGGGTGAGGAGGTCTCAAGAGTGGGCAAGAACTAAGTTCTGTGGTTCATCCTAGTCTTATTTTCTATAATTCAGTAGGTTAGAAATGCCTCTGTTGTAAGTGTCCCTTACACTGTGGGGTGATTGCTCCTTCTTTTCATGACCAGGTTTTGAGAGAAGGTGGCTGCCTTGTTCTGTGGAAGCTGGTGATGTCTGGTGAGGAGGACCCTAGCAATTGGGTCTAACTAATTAATGTCAAGTAATGGAGAGGCTGGAAAAGTGGACCCAGAGGAACCTCATGAGATTCAACAAGGCCAAGTGCAGGGTCTTGCACCTGGGTAGGGGCAATCCTCATTACCAATACTGGCTGGGAGATGATGTGCTGAAAAGCAGCCCTGAGGAAAAGGACTTAGGGGCACTGGTGGATGAGAAGCTGGACAAGAGCCACCAATGTGCATCTGCAGCCCAGAAACCAACCCCATCCTGGGCTACAGCACAAGAAGTGTGGCCAGCAAGGGCCAGGGAGGGGATTTTGCCCCTCTGCTCTGCTCTGGTGAGCCCCCACCTGCAGTGCTGCATCCAGCTTTGGAGTCTCCAACACAAAAAGGACATTGAAGTGGTGGAGTAGGTCCAGAGGAGGCCACAAAGATGATCCAAGGGCTGGAGCAGCTCTGCTATGGGGGCAGGCTGAGAGAGTTGGGGTTGTTCAGCCTGGAGAAGAGAAGGCTCTGGGGGGACCTTATAGTGACCTTCCAGGACTTGAAAGGTGCCTATAAGAAATCTGGGGAAGAGCTGTTTACTGAGGTATGGAGCAATAGGACGAGAGGGAATGGTTTTAAACTAGAAAAGGGTAGATTTAGGTTGGATATTAGGAAAAAGTTCTTCACCATGAGGGTGGTAGATCAGTGGCACAGGTTGCCCAGAGGTGGTGGAGGCCCCATCCCTAGAGATATTCAAGGTCAGGCTTGGTGGGGCTGTGAGCAACCTGATCTGGTACCAATGTCCCTGCTGAGTGCAGGAGTTGGACTGGATGAGCTTTAAAGGTCCCTTCCAACCCAACACATTCTGTGATTCTGTGATTCTAATAATTTTTGTAAAAAAATATTTCCAAATAAATAAAATCTTTGTTTCTCTCCAATTTTTTCTTCTTGATAAGAAAGATATTAATAAATGTTTCACTGCTGAAATTTTTTTGACTGAGAAATAACTTATGTTCTTTTTTTTGTCATAAAGTTTCATTTTGTAGTAAATCTTCAATAATTTTTATTAGCTTTTACCTGTTCAAATTATTTTTAGACCTCTGAATTATTTGAGGTATCTTATAATGTTATAGTTGTTGTTTCTTAATGTCTTCAGGAGTTGAAAAAATTGGAGTTTAGAAAACATGGTAAGAAATATCCTTCCAGAAATCTGTTGACAGTCTAAAAGCATCTTTTATATAAGCTAGTAAAATGGTAATTCAGCCTAATAACTAGGAGAACAATGGCATCTTGCTAAATTTTGAAAAGATCATAAATGAATGAGAGAATATAATAAGACTAAAAAATACGGGGTTATGACATTAATGTGTGCTTTGTTCATTTATTTGACAAGTGGTTTTGTTCTAATTATGTAAGTTCCAAATATATCGGTGAAAGCATTAGTGAAATTAGATTTCATTACAGTTCCCCGCTATTGAGTAGTTAAAATGAAGAAAACCTACCTTTTTTTAATGGCTCTGCATGGCTTGAACGTATGAGGAGTTCTGTCACAATTCCATAACCGTCTTTGAAACATTATTATAATTTCATTTTAATTGAATCAATATTTTCTTTGCATCTTTTTCCGGCTTGTTTACCAGAAAATCATTACGGTTTACTTAAGTAGCTGTCTAGTGTCTTCATAGTATTTATCTCTCTTATTTAATTATGTCATAGAATCACAGAATCACTACAGTTGGAAGAGACCTCCAAGATCACCAAGTCCAACCATCAGTCCAACCCCACCAGGCCCACTAAACCATGTCCCCAGGTGCCACATCCACCACTTCTTGAACTCCTCCAGGGATGGGGACTCCGCCACCTCCCTGGGCAGCCCCTTCCAGTGCTTGACCACTCTTGGAGTCAAGACATTTTTCCTCAGATCCAATCTAACCCTCCCCTGGTGCAATTTGAAGCCATTTCCTCTTGTCCTATCATTGGTTAAATGGGAGAAGAGACCAACACCCACCTCACTACCTCCTCCTTCAGGCAGTTGTAGAGGGTGATAACCTCAACCTCATCTTCTTCAGACTAAACAACCCCAATTACTTCAGCTACTCATCATAAGATTTATTCTCAAGACCCTTCACCAGCTTTCTTGCCCTTCTTTGGACCCTCTCCAGCACCTCAATGTCTTTATTATACTGCAGCGCCCAAAATCTCTGAGGCTTTCAGATAATTGCTTGATGGATGCATATTGTTTTCTCAGATATGCTTTGTTCATCCACCGATGAGGATATTGGTTCTTTCAGTAGAAATTTGTCATTGGCTGATGTTATTGCTGGCAAAATTTTATTTTGAATAATTTTTTTGATGCAAAGGCGAGAGCTGTTTCCCTCAGAGAGCAGGATACCATGCTGTGTGTACAGTGGCTTCACCAGGACATGTAAAACACCATGAAACTCCACTGTTATGAGTAAGAGAGAGTTCAACCATTTGGTTTCGTGAAAAAGAGATTGAATACTGACATCTGAACCATTAGTGTCTTTTCTCCCAGTAATCTAACTCTTGCTCTATTTGTTCAGCTAGGATTGTGTGTTAGCAGAGCTTCAGCATCTGTCCTCAATCTCAACTGCTGCCTGGTCCTTCTACCCATGTGCCGTGTTCTCCTGGCCTTCCTGCGAGGATCTCAGAAGGTAAGGACTGAAGGAGAAGAGGGCCCTGGTCTCTGTTTAGCTTAAAAATAATAGGAAAAACCCTTAAATCTGTTATATCCCTGTTTATTATATGGTATATGTCTACATGGTGCAAGTATCAGATGTTCACGGCTCCTTTGAAGACATTATTTTGGGTGACATGGTCTGGTTTGATTGGACTTGCTGTGGGGAAGGTTTCTTCGCTGCATTTTTAAAGGATGAGGAGTGTAACCAGACGAAGTCTCCTTCTTCTGTGATAAAAGATATGTGTCCTCTCTACTACTTCCTGGTAGAATTTAACAGAGCAAAAAAACTCCTTCGTCCCTGCATGACCAGAAATGGCCTGCTGGAGATGGCAGAACTTTAAGTAAAAATATCCAACCTGATACATTCTTTGCCATGGGAGGAAAAAAAGAAAAGTTCTGGCAAAGCTAAGAGGGTTTGTTTTTTGTACATGTACTCAGTAAATAGTGGTTTAGTTTGTTTGTGCTTTGCCAGTTGCTTTCTCAGAAATGGAAGTAATGCTTTTGAGGAGCCTCTGTGTTTCCTAGATGATTGCGAGTTGAACCTATGAGTTCTGGTCATGGTGTGACAGTACCTGTGAGATTTGATGCCTATAGATGCATATACACATGCACGTATACCTTTCCCTCTGATCCTGCTCACTAATTACAACAATTAGTGCTGGAATTCCTGAATTTCAAGGCCAGAAGGGACATTACCTTCTATGCTAATGTCTTCATTAAGACCTCAAAATTGGCTCATTGATGTAATCTTGTAGCTCTTAAATTTGAGTACTGTGCTCGCAGGAGTGTTGCAATTGAAACTGCTATTGTATCACCTCAGCTGCTGTTAGTATTTCTTATTTTCTTTGCTTTTTATTTTAGAAGAGAGATTGCTTGAATTCTTCTCTTATTAGGTTGCCAGCAGGAAAACCAGAAGGCTGCTGGATAAGAGCAAAACTTTCCACGTGACGTGTGGCGTTATGATATGCATCTTTTCAGGTGAGTTCTTAACTGTGCTACGCAGCAGCGTTTTTGGGAAACACACTGGAGCAGTAGAAAAAACCCCAACGTTGTGGTTTTTCTTGCACAGTACATTTGGGGGTAGTCTTGCTCTGTGTTTCCCTGCTTTAAATTCTGAATGCTTTCTTGGATGTGTGTGGGTTTTGGTTTCTTTTTCCTTTCAACACACGGATTCATATTCTAATGCAGAGCCTTTCCTTAAAATTCCAGTTTCTAAAAGGTCAGGTATATGAGAGCAGGTCAAAATCTGCTGTTACAAGTGACCCTCCACTGTGCCTAAGGAATTTGAGGAAGAAGCAGGGTGCTACAGGCTCATCTGCAGAAGAGGGAGCAGTGGACACAAATAACCAATTTGATGAAGAAGAAATATTCTTAACACCTTTGAGTGATGCTTCCTAGCTGAAGCATTGCAGTGCAAAAATGAATGCTGTAGTGTTAAAAAAAAAAAATCTTAAAATACATCCAACTTTCTGCCATTAATATCTATAACCTGATTTACTTTTGACAAAGAATTCCTTAGTCCCTGATGCATCTTATGCAGGTGATACGGTTATAGCTTGGCATCTGAGTAACCACTTTTCTTTGCTTCAGGGGAACATCTACCTCTTGTTTAAGGATCTCACCTTTACTCCATTTTTTTCAGTCTTGCATGTGGCTGCTCATCTGGTGAACGCCCTTAACTTCTCGGAGAACTACAACGAAGACTTTCTGTCAATAAATGCAGCGAACTATCGCGGTGAGGTGAGCCAGCTCTCCTTTTGTATTTTACTTTTAAATATATAATTTAAATATATGTTTATTTTTATATCATAGAATCATAGAATGGTTTGGGATGGAAGGGACCTCAAAGTCCCCCCCAGTCCAACCCCCATGGGCAGGGACACCTCCACCAGCCCAGGCTGCTCCAAGCCCCATCCAACCTGGCCTGGGGCACTGGCAGGGCATTCACAGCTTCTCTGGGCAACCTGGGCCAGGGCCTCACCACCCTGACAGGGAGGAATTTCTTCCTAATGTCCAGTCTAAATCTCGCCTCTTCCAGTTTAAAACCATTCCTCCTTGTTCTATTGCTACCTACCTTTGTAAAAAGTCCCTCCCCAGCTTTCCTGTAAGACCCTTTCAGGCTCTGGAAGGTCGCAATAATGTCCCCCCAGAGCCTTCTCTTCTCCAGGCTGAACAACCTCAACTCTCTCAACCGGTCCTCATAGGGGAGGTGCTCCAGCCTTTTGATCATCTTCATGGCCCTCCTCTGGACTATACGGAGTGGTCTTAGAGTGATTTTGTACATTGAAAACTCACCGTCACGTGGATTTTATTTCTTTCTCTGGACAAAGTGTGTATGAAGCGCTTTAAGCCAGCAGGATCCAGACCTATTGGATGATGAGGTGGAGAAGGCTGCCAGCAGGTCCTTTCAGCTTGCGTCCCTTTCTCCTGCTTCTCTGCAATGTGCTTTAACCTTTGGCCAGCTCTGAATTGGTCAGGCAGTAGATGATCATTGTAGGTTCCTTCCAATTGAAATAGTCTTTATTCTTCTTCTGCATCTCTCTGCTGCTTGGGTGGGCCTGATTGAGGCGCTTCTGCTGTTTTGGGAAATTACATTCTGTATTTGCAATGTTTGGCATACAGTGCTATGAGACATATACTGAGGATTTGAGGATAGTGAGATTTGGGACTGATTTTGCATTTTTAAGCTGCAGTGGGGGCTGTAGTATATAGTGAATCATAGAATTATGGAATCACTTCGTTGGAAAAGACCATTTAAGATCATTGAGTCCAGCCATAAGCTGTCTACCACTAAACCATGTCCCTCAGCACCTCATCTCCCCATTTTTAAACCTCTCCAGGCATGGTGACTCCACCACTGCCCTGGGCAGCCCCTTCCAGTGCCTGATAACCCCTTCAGGGAAGAAATTTTTCCTAATATCCAACCTAAACCTCTCCTGGCACAAAGAGGCTATGAGGTTACTTCTAAGGCATTCTGAAGAGTAAAAAAATTAAGAATTTCTATCACAACCCCAACACTGCTGCCACACATTTCCTGCTATTTCTATCTGTTGTACACATTAACTCAAGTGTATTAAAAAAATTGTAAGTGATTATTTTGCTGGACTGATCTCAAAACAAATGATGAATTGTTAATTCCGTAAATGCCAAATGTAAAGAAAAGAAAACTGGCATAGCAGGTGTGAAGGAATAAAACAAAAGCTAATAATCTATGAAATAAATTATCTGGACTTTATTCTTGCAAACAAATATGTGCGGAGAGTGGAATTGTTTATCTGCATGAACTGGGCTGGTGACTGGTTTCTACTTATTAAATACTTCGCTTGCACAGCTTCTCTGACTGCGGTGCAGATCTCTTGAAAGCAAACCATAGTCCTCATCCCTTCTACAGGTGCTTGCTTGTGCATTTGGCACCAGAGAGATGTTTGCAGAATTTTAGGGCTAAGACCAGAGTCCATGACTCTTTTCTTCTTTGGGCTACGCTCAAGTTCACTCTTGGTCTGGTCTCAAGTCTGCATTTCTTTTCTATCAGCTTTGTTAGAAAAGGTTTTAAATGACCCTATCCCAGCTGCATCCTTTCCTGGAAAAGGAGAGCTTGACTCATAAGGACCAGAAACCAAGGTCTTCCATTCCCTGGGCGAATGATCTCATCGCTGAGCTATCCCATGGCAGACGTACGGACATGCCAACACCGATTGTGCGGAGGCTCTGGATTGAGCTTGAGTGTTTTTTGTGTGTCAGGAGTGGTCTGGTAGACTTGGCCTCCTCAGGAGCATCAGCAGGATCTTGCCTCAGGCACCCATGTGCGAGAGTGGGCACAGCAGCCCCTGCTAAGCAGCCTTAGGAATTTTCCAATAGATAATGGAGATAAGAAGAAAGTTTTTAGTAATTTTAGGGTGAAAACCTTATGGATTTTAGGTATTCTGGTAGCTCTTGAACCATTGTGCTTGTTGTGGTTTACACAGTTGCTCTATCACCTGATGCCTCCTCCCCACCTGAAAGGGGGGGTTAGAAAAGGAAAGGAGATTCTTGGGTTGAAATAGAAATATATTTAATACAATAACAACAACAATAACAAACAACTATTACTATTAACAGTTATAATATAAAATACACAGTGCTATACTCAGCTGATACTGTGGAGGAGTAGGCCTCAAGGTTAGGACAGTGATCAAGTCCCTCTTGAGATGTCAGTCATGGAAAAGGGAGCAGGAAGGAGAGGAACAGGCAGAGAAGGAGGAAGAAGGAAGTGCCTTCCCCAGCAAACTCTCCAGTTTATAGTGAATGTGACGTTCATAGTATGAATGGTATTAATTGAGCAGCCTGGGATCACCTTGGGGTTGACTCCCTTGGGTTTCTGCTCCCCTCAACCTCTGCAACTTTATCTCAAGACCTTGAAGACCTCAAGCGCTGTGGCAACCTGCACACCAGTATTAGCTGAAACCTATGACAATGTTCTTATCAACTTTGTTCCCGTGAAATAAAGTGGTGTAGTCCTTACAAAATTGCAGTTTTCTTCAACAGAAAACTGTCTTTCAAATTCTGTCTCATTAAATGAGAACAGTGCTTGAATTCCACTTATGCCTAGTTTTCCTGAACTGTGGTGGGCAGTGTGGATGCTGCTGTCATCTCCTGTGCCTGAGTACACACATCTGGGTACAGACGATGCCAGGGAGAGGGACACTTCATTTTTCCTGACCTGTATGAAAACTGCTCGCCTCCTCTCACTGCATTCTACTGTAAATTAAAAATAAAATAGAAGTTTTTCTCCGCAGTGAAGACAAAACCTCATGAGGTATAGGACTTGGGGAGGAAATGAGGCAGTTTCCTGTGAGGCTGACATATCCCTTCCTCCTTCCACATGTGGTGAAGGACATGGGAACATCTGGCCTTGTATTGTCAGCGCCTTTGTGTTCAGTCCTGCTTCGCTGGAGGCTGCTGCAAATCTCTGTGATGTAACTGGCAGTAAAATACTCACCGCTGGTCTTTCATTTAAATTCAGATCTCTCTCTCTTCTGCTCTCCTCTTTCCTCCCCAAGGTATGAGGTAACCAAGTAAAGTTAAGCTTTGAAAAAATAACTATTTGTAAAATTGTCTGGATCCTAATTTTTTTATAGCAAAGCACAACTGTCTTCATGGGGGGGTATGCAAAGGCTAAAGGCGTAGTTTATGTTCAATCACAATTGGTGTTGCTACTAAATACCAAATCACACAGAATCACAGAATAAGGAGTTGGAAAGGACCTTGAAAGCTCATCCAGTCTAACCCCTGCCAGAGCAGGATCATCAGAGCAGTCACACAGGAATACGTCCAGGTGCATTTTGAATGTCTCCAGAGGAGACTCCACAACCACTCTGGGCAGCCTGGGCCATGCTCTGGCACCCTCACAGTGATAAAGTTTTTCCTTATGTTCAGCTTGAACCTCCTGTGTTCCAGCTTGCTCCCCCCACTGCCCCTTGTCCTGTCATTGGACATCACAGAGCAGAGCCTGGCTTCTTCCTCCTGACACTCACCCTTTCCAAATTGATGACCATGAATGAGGTCACCCCTCAGTCTCCCAAAGAGACTAATGGCTAAAGAGCCTCAGCTCCCTCAGCCGCTCCTCAGCAGGAGATGCTCCACTCCCTCTGTCATCTTTGTGGCTCTGCGCTGGACTCTTTCAAGCAGTTCCTGTCCTTCTTGAACTGAGGGGCCCAGAACTGGACGCAATATTCCAGATGCGGTCTGAGCAGGGCAGAGTAGAGGGGGAGGACAACCTCTCTCGATCTAGCCTCTGCTATGAAGACAGGCTGAGAGAGTTGGGGGTGAGCCTGGGGAAGAGAAGGCTCCAGGGGGGACCTTATAGCGACCTTCCAGGACCTGAAAGGTATGGATAAGAAGTCTGGGGAAGAGCTGTTTACTAGGGCATGGAGCGATAGGATGAGAGGTAATGGTTTTAAACTGGAAAAGGGGATATTTAGTTTGGATGTGAGGAAAAAAATTCTTTACTGTGAGGGTGGTAGATCACTGGCATAGATTGCCCAGGGAGGCTTGAAGTATGGGATGCTGGCCAGACAGAAGGAGTGTAATTATGAGCCTAATTAGCCTCTTATCTGGCCCATTATGATGACTCTTTTGTTGTTAAGCAAAAAAAGGGGCCCAGAACTGAACACAATATTCCAGATGTGGTCTCACCAAGGCAGAGTAGAGGGGAAGGAGAACTTCTCTGACCTACAACCACCCCTTCTCATACACCTCAGGATGCCATTGGCATTCTTGGCCGCAGGGGCACATTGCTGGCTTATGGTCATCCTGCTGTCCACCAGCACCCCCAGGTCCTTTTCTGCCTGGCAGCTTTTCAGCTACTCGTCCCCAAGCCTGTAGCGCTGCATGGGGTTATTGCGACCAAAGTGCAGGACCTGGCACTTGGCCTTGTTGAACTTCATACAAATCCATTCCTGCATCCAGATTTAGGGATTGCTTATGCCACATGAGCTTTATGAGCTATTTCTTACTACTATATTATTCATATGTATATTAAATCGTGTAGGCTGACTTTTGGGTTTTTTTCCCCTGTTTTTTCAGGACCCAAGGAAGCTGCTTTTTGCTACTGGTGAGTCTGTCACAGAACTGAGTGAGCAAGTTTGCTGCTTCTCATCATCACGTTCCAGACAAAACACTCTCCATGTGTTGTGTATCAGCTTGGTTGGGATGTGTTATTTGTGTTAACATAACCTGAGTTTGCTTATCCAATAGTCAGGAGGGAGGAGTTACGTCAGCCCTGTGGTGGGATGAGCCGCATCTTCAAAGCTGTTGTTGTACAGATGAGTCAGTGCAAAATCATCAGTTTCAAACAGAGATTGTGCATAATATTAAACCTTAAATTCCTAAATGATCCCATTTCTAGAAAAAGTAACAAAACAAAAAGCGGTTGCCTTGCTGGTTTATTTAAGGGTTGGTTTGACTTCAGAGCCATCGAAACCATTACACGGGAATCGGGCTCCAGCACTCATAAAGAATAAATAAGCAAAGACATTTTTGGTGCAGGAATTTAGAAGGAAGCAACATTTGGGTATGGAGGGGTGGGTACAAGCCTGAGCTGTAGTGCTTCACAAGCACGTAAAGGTACTTTCCGAGTTCATATCTCTTTTCATCTTCTTTAGATCAAATGCAAAAATCCCATGTTGCTGGCATTTAGGACGAGGTCCAAAGGAATTGTTCTGGACAGAAATAAATGGGGTTTGAGACCCAATGTATCTATTAGGATTTATTAGAATTGGCGGCCTGTGGGAAAGGGCTTTCCAAAATCCCTTTAGGTCAGTTGAGAGTAGAGGGAGCAAGTAAGTGAAATAGAAATTGAGGTACAAGTTAACTGGAAATGTTTTGGGTAACTGGTGTAGTTAGTGAATGGAAGTGGAGGCTTGAAAGAAGGTAACTCACACAGGAGAGAGTTAAAGATGGTGAGAGAAAATTGGAACAAACAGCATTATATTCAGTATTTTGGATAAAGAAGAAAGGTATGGGGTGAAGAATGAGCGTAGAGGCCCCATCAAATAATATTACAGCTTCTGGGGACACTTTGAGACCCATCTAGTTGAGCAGAGGACATGCGAGTCAGAACTCCCTTTTACCCTTTGACAGCCAGGAAAATACTTTCAAAAATATAGGAAAATACTTTTGAAAAAGTTTGAGCACGTTGTTGCAAAAAGGAGTGATTCCAAGTCATCTTAAATGTAAAATTACTCAGATCACTTCCCGTCCTAATAATGGGTAATTAATATTTATTATTTGTGCTGTGGGAATGTCCAAGTAAAGATCAAGATTTTTCTGCAGTGGGAGCTGTGCAAATATGCAAAAAAAATGGTCTTTTTCCAAACAGTTCTGAACTGGATTTATTTGCTGATTTTTTTTTTTTTTTTTTAACATCGAGATTAGAAGGAATAAGGAGTTGGAAGGATTTATAGTCCATGACAAAGCTTCTGTTGATTGTAGGACTGAGGTTTTTCCTACAGTTGGTAAAACTGAGGAGTCATTTGGGCTGTATCAGATTTTGGGTATTAGACTTTTCAACAAGCGAATATTGAGAAGTGTATAAAAAGATAAGATTTTAAGTTGTCTCACTGCTGAAGTTTCTAAAATGAAAATCAATTTTTTAAAAGAAATTAGTTTGTTTTTATCACTAGTATGTGATCCTGTAAAAGATCCTGGGCCATTAAAATCTTGTTTTTTTGCCATTTATAACTATGAAAGCTGGTTGAGATGCTTTTATTCTGACACTAAAACACCACTTATTTGGCTTTGTACTTGGTGATTGGCCTGACTGACTGTTTAAATCCAAACACGTGGCTTTTAGGGTGACCAGAAGCTCTTAAAAACTACCGTTCTTTGAGAAGTAAAAGGCTTTGATGTAATGCATCATGGATTTTGGGTTCTTAATTTGGATTCTTAATTCCTGGGGTGGCAATTTTGAAGATCAGGTGCTCAGAAAAAGTGGTAACTTTAGGATTTTTCTAATCCATCTTTAGTCTGATGCTTTACTGTACTTCACGGGCAGGATTCTACTTTAGGATGAGATGAAATCATGCTGTAGCAATACTCATTTCTCTACTTTATCCTCGTTTTTTTTCAAATCATACTAGTTATGATTTCAGTCTGCATTTGAGCAGATGAGTCCAAGCCTTAATGTTTTTAACCTTTCCTTCTGAAACGCTGGCTGTAGATTGCTCTCACAGACCTTGCTCTACAGGCAGCAATTTTAAGCATGATCCAATGCCATGGAGAGTAATTTCGGGCTCTTTCTCATTCCAGGATGAAATGGGTTGGCAAACAATTGTGGTGACAGCTTGCATAGAAAGGGATTTGCTTGAAATTTTGTCCCTGACCAGGTTTTTAATTGTAGTGTTCAACAGAGTTTAGGGTTTGGGATTTAAAAAAAATAAGAGATACAGAAACTTGTACAGTCAGTCTTAAAAATAGGATTTGTTCTTTGTTATCTGCTTATGTTGCGAGCAAAAGATTACAGGAGGAAAGACTAATAGGAAATTAAGAATGCATGGTGAAATGCAAATAAAAGGACAGTTTTCTCTGGGAAGGTGAGAAATAACACAACAGCTCTTCTTCCCCATCTAATTTGAGACATGAATTGTCTTCAAGAGATAAATACGCACAGAGGTTTGATTGATTCATAATTTCTATGTCTGATAACTTACACTGTCTTAAAAGGTCATAGAAGACAAGTGCCCCTCATCAGGGTTCAAATGTAAATTTTCAAATGTAAATGTAAAATTATCTTATGTCTCTTTTAGTTCCAGGTCTGACTGGAGTCATTATGGTGTTGGTATTATTCCTAATGTGTACAGCTTCTACATATGCCATCAGGTAAGGTGTAATCTGATAATTATGCTGAAAATTGCCATTTGAGTAATCATACTCTTATACCAAGTAATCATACTCTTACACCGATTAAAGGGAACGAAGAATAAATGCAATACGAGGCAACAAGTATTTAAATGAATGTTATAAATACCAGCTTTCTTGCCCTATTTTTTTTTTACTAGCTTGCAGGTAAATAAGCACAGCAAATTTTGTATTCAGAAAATTGCAAAACCTGATTAAATTGCCTTCTGAGAAAAATATTGTTTGAGGAATGTGCTCAGTTAAAAATCTAGGCCTTTAAAAATTCAAGTAGTTCTTTTTTCCTGTTTGTGCAGGGAGGCAGTAAACCTGGCATATGGGAAGTGGTGTCCAATGCATTAATTAAGTCCACTGGAAGTAAACCAAAATGATATCTTTATCTTAATTACTTTCACCAATTATTTTTAACAACAAACTGAAAAAAAAACCTAACAAAAAAACCCCCACAAAACCAGCAACGAAGCAAACTGAAGCAGAATTTGCTATTTAAGTAGAATGTTGCTTTTTTTAAAGCTCTGCTTCTGGTTGTCGGGTATATTCTTTTCAATGTGGATTATACTTTGGAAACAGAAATACAGTGTTGGGCTCAGAGTAGCTGCTGGGATTTCTAAAGGTTTGGTCCTCCAGTGGGTTCACATTCTGCACCAATATTATTCAACACGTATTATTTATTATATCGTGTTATGATATAATATCGTGTCATTATATGGTATCGTATCATGATATGGTATCGTAGCATGGTATCGTACCATGATATCGTGTCATGTTATGGTATGGTATCGTACCATGGTATCGTGTCGTGTCATGATATTATATATCATGTATATTGAGTGACCGGTACCTTTGAGCATCTAACCCAATGTTGTAGACTTTTAAGGCTTAGATTTTGCAACTGAAGCATAAAAAAACCCTTGATTTTTATTTCTTTTTGGGAAATTGTAGACTATATGTTAATGGTGCTCCACTCATGTGAGCTAGATATCTAGTTTTGAATTTTTTGAATTAATATATTTTTCCTGAGTAGCAACTGATTTGAAAAAAAGCATTTCAGCAAATATTTTTGCACATTTTGTAGAAAACAATACAGGGTTGGGACCTTGGTGAGGAACCATAGGTGACAGAAAATGCGGGATGATGCTGTGGCATCCACAGATGTGGCTGCACATGGCATAGTCCACACAGATGGCCCTGCTTGCAAAAAAAAAAGCCAGTTTTGGGAAGGTGGAAAAACAAAACAATTACTTCAGTGTGCTGCAGTCAGCCAGAACAAAGGCTGTGATAAATTAGAAAAAAAAAAAAAGAACAGCATCTATTAATGGTCGGGAAACTTACGGAAATAGATGTAGTTGCAAATGCATTCTTGAAAATAAGAATTTTGGGCTTCCGTCTTTCCAACTTACATGCATTTTATTTCCTTTTTCAATTTTTGTAAGTGCCGCCCTGTTTTTCTGCCATCCAGCCAGCAGAATCAAAGCCCGTAATAGATCATCTGCATCTCCTGTTCCTCTAGCAATAATTCTTACTTAGTTTTATCCTGGCTTCACCCTCAGACATAGGGCTCAAGCTCATCTTCATGGTGTATTTTCCAAAGGATACAACCTCTGTGGACATCTTTCTGTCCCTTTTCAACCTCTTTCCATGTGGATTCTCATGCTATAGTCTTAGGAAAATTAATTGTAAATGCTCACGGCCTGTCAGAAACTGGGCTTTTTAAGAAGTATTTCAGAGACTATTACACTCTCTTGGATCTCAGCCCTAATCTGCCTTGCACACTGACCTGCTTAATAATTTTTGCCTTCGTATGTTCTTCCTGAAATTTTTTTCTGTGCATGATTATCCTGCTATTTTTGTGTTTCTTCTGCAAACTGTGTGAATAAGTGTTAGGAGGATTAAATTAGCTGCTAATGCTTTAAAAGGGAAAAGTGAGTATTATTTGAAAAACTTCCTAAGTTTTAGCTATGACACACCTGAGAATTGAACATCTCCTGTTCAGTGGCTGTTTGTTGGATGGGTTATGAAGTTATTAGAAGAGACAGTAAAGCCAGTGAATAAATGCTGACATATCTGCTAACTTATTAGGAGTTGGAAGGGACCACAAAAGCTCCCCCAGTCCAACCCCTGCCAGAGCAGGATCACCCAGACCAGGTCATACAGGAACACGGCCAGGCGGGTTTTGAATATCTCCAGAGAAGGAGACTCCACAACCTCTCTGGGCAGCCTGGGCCAGTGCTCTGTAACCCTTACAGTAAAAAAGTTTTTCCTCATGTTCAGATTGAACTTCCTATGCTCCAACTTGCACCCATTGCCCCTTGTCATGTCATTGACTGTCACTGAGCAGAGCCTGGCCCTTCCTCCTGACACTTGCCCATTACAAATTTGTAACCATGAATGAGGTCACCCCTCAGTCTCCTCTGCTCCAAGCTAAAGAGACCCAGCTCCCTCAGCCGCTCCTCAGCAGGAGATGCTCCACTCCCTCCATCATCTTTGTGGCTCTGTGCTGGACTCTTTCAAGCAGTTCCTGTCCTTCTTGAACTGAGAGGCCCAGAACAGGACACAATATTCCAGATGTGGTCTGACTAGGACAGAGTAGAGGGGGAAGAGAACCTCTCTGCCCTACAACCACCCCTTCTCATACACCCCAGGATGCCATTGGCGTTCTTGGCCACAAGGGCTCGTTGCTGGCTCATGGTCATCCTGCTGGCCACCAAGACCCACAGCACCTTTTCTTCCTGGCAGCTCCAGCCACTCGTCCCCAAGTCTGTAGCGTCCCTGGGGTTATTGCGCCCGAAGTGCAGGACCTGGCACTTGGGCTTTTTGAAGCTCATACAGGTGGCCTCAGCCCTTTGATTCACCCTATCCAGGTCCCTCTGCAGAGCCTTCCTACCCTGAGGCAGATCAATGCTCCCTCCCAACTTAGTGTCATCTGCAAACTTGCTGAGAGAGCTCTCAATCCCCTCATCCAGATCATTGATAAAGATGTTAAACAGGACTGACCCCAAAACCGAGCCCTGGGGAACACCAAATGAATGTTGTTCAAGAGTATTTCCTTTGAACACAATTACTAGTGATTTTGGAAGTTATATATTTAAGGGAACGTTTAAATATAAGCTGCTCCAATGCTATTTGTTTTATTTAACCACATATTCCAGTCTTCAATTTCGTGTTCTAAACTATCACATCTTCCTTTTCGAAACTAGCTGTAACAGGATTAAATATTTTTCCAAAACTGTGCTGCTTACTGTGTCCCCTTAAAGCATGGCATTTCTCCCTTATATTGCTCAGTAAATTAACTCTTGCAGGTCTTCACCTGCAGAATTATAAAGTAGGTTAACCACAATTAAAAGTAAATATTCAACTTGCTCTGAAATTTTCAGGACTAAGAAATGCATTCATTCTGTGAATAATGTCTATTTTAAGCCTTAAGAAGATAAAGAAAGTAGTAAATAGTCTGAAGAACTACAACAATACATATCTAGCAGTAGAAAGATTGAGTGTATTACAATACTGTGTATATCTGTAGGATACAGTTTAAGAAGGTTACAAGTATGAAATACATAATTATTAAAATATTGGATAATATGTTTCATGGTAAGAGGTTCAAGGATCTCAATTCCTTCAGTTTAAAGGGTGAAGTGGAGAGGACTTCATTACATTTAGGGGGACTTGATACATGAATGAAAGTTTTATAGTAGAGGTAGAAGAGTAAAATGCCTAACTGTCTGGAAGCTGACATATAGACATATTCAGTCAAGAAATGTACAGTAATTTTAATCAGAAACAACAATTAGCTGTTGAAAACAGCACATCAGAAGCTAGCATTGACTTTCCATAACCGGAACTTTTGAAAAATCAGTGTGTTCTGAAACAGAAGTGTTCAAGATCCAGTAAAGATGTGGTGAGAAAGGGATTGAGCAGCCTCAGGGAGGAAAATGTGTGGTGCTGGATGGGGGCAGGATGAAGAGGGTTGCAGAGCCCCTTGCTGTTGCTGAGTTTCTCAGAGCTGCCCTTGCTTGGATTTTATTTCATAACCCTCAGAATATAAAAATTGTATTTTCTGTCTTGAGAAAGAAAAAAGCTAAGTCCTGTATTGACAGAAACAAATGCAGTGTACATTTCTGATGTATGGAAGCAAGGGTAGTTGGCTGTTTATGTGAAAAAACTCCGAATAAGTTAGCTATGTTGGAGGAGTAGCTTCTTATATGAAGTTCTCAGAGTTAAGGTTAGTTTTTTTTGTTTAATAGTTGTTTTGGCTTATGAATGGAGGTGAGTTTTTTTGGTTTTGGAAGGGACTCTCCTACCATGCTGTGTAGTGTGAGAGGTGCATTTGTGTGCTATGAAGTAGAGTATTTTCTTAACCATTTGGTTGTTGATTTTTTGGTGACTGTTTTGCTCAAGAAAAAAAAAAACATGCTTAAGAGAAAACAGTTCCAGATGGGTATTTTCTTTGGTTGTAGTTCTTTTTACATTACCTAACAAATTACTGATTAAAGGAAGTCCTCTTTCCCCTTCATCTCTGCTGATCCTCACAGTGGTAATGTTTCTCCTCCCAAAATCATCAGTCCTAGAGCCCCACTGCATGTGGCCTCCTGCCCTGAAAACTCTCCTACCTGTCCTCTCATTGCCTCCTTACTCTGGTTCCCTTTCCTCTGGTATCTCCTTCCACTCTATATTCTCAAAAGTTCCTGCTGCCTTTCCCACCAGCGCTTCTGCTGCTCCCTGTTCATGTTGTACCAGTAGTAACACATTAAACACCGCAGCCCTGTACTGGAGCAGGGAGAAGGCAAGGAGGCACTCACCCATAAAGAGGTTGAATTTTGAATCATAGAATTATTTGGGTTGGAAGAGACCTTTAAGATCATCAAGTCCAACCATTGAACCAGCCCTTATTCAGCCACTAGACCATGTCTCTAAGCACGACATCTGCTCATCTTTTAAACACCCCCAGGGATGGGGACTCCACCACCTCCCTGGGCAGCCCCTTCCAGTGCCTGACAACCCTTACAGTAAAGAAATTCCTCTTAAAATCCTACTTAAACCTCCCCTGGTGCAACTTGAGGCCATTTTCCTTTGTCCTGTCATTAACTATGAGGGAGAAGAGACCAACCCTCACCTTGCTACATCCTCCTTTCAGGTAGTTTTAGAGGGCAATAAGGTTTGAGCCTGAAGACTAAAGAACTATTCTAGCTGTAAGGTTCTGGTAGGGACTAAGTAGGACCTGTGAAAGCAGCAAAATCTTCTAATTTAGGAATAATTCTTCAGCTGGCTCTGTACTTCTGTGTCCTTTGTCTCTCTTAGCTTTTGACTTCTGTTCTTCTCAACACTTAATTGCTTGCAAGTACAGTGTGCCTGTAGGATTACATGCTGGGCTTTGGCTGTTCTACTTGACTATGAGGTGTATAATAATGTCCTGTGTGCACAGATTGGCTTTTAATGAGCAGTGATTCCATCTGAGTGAAATGGCATTGAATCATGGTTTATTCTTTTCAGGGTTTCAAACTATGACATCTTCTGGTATACACACAACCTTTTCTTTGTCTTCTATATGCTGCTGATGCTGCATGTTTCTGGGTAAGTAAATGGAGAACACTGTACCTTTTCCTGAAGCACAACCAGAAAGAGCCATTCCCTTGGTTACTGCCTTGCCCGAGCTTGCTTGTTCACAGTGGTCCAATTTCTTGACAAAATGCTATGCTCTTCAGTTTTTCAACAGGTTATCATTTGAATAATGTTTAGACTTGGAGAACTGTGTGTTACTACAGCCACCTAGCACAAACTTCTTCACTTTGAAGTTTATTCCTTCTCAATTTTACCAGTTTCTAATGGGAAATCAAGAAAACATAAAGTTGCTCATTGCTTTCTCTTTCCTCTCTGCCTTTCATTTTCACTCCTAAGAAGAGGGAAGAAATGGCTTCTCCCTAATTATCTCCTGCTCACTGCTATGATACAAAATTCACTAGTTTTTCTTCTTGTTTTCACAAACATGTGATGTGTGTTCATGTGCCATGAAGCTGATGGTCAGGTCTGCATCTGGCACAAACAAGCCCCGCTTTACCTCAAGGTAGAGCAGCTTCCACAAGTTACGCTATGGGAAAATCGGGTCGATTGGTGTGTCTAAAGTTTCCTTTGTGGATGTAGGCACAGAGCTTGGTATAGGGAAGGTATATTTGAACATGGTTCATTTCTCCATGTCACCAAACATCTACTGAAACACGAGGTGCTGGCATCTCTGTGGGACATGGAGCACTGCTGCTTAAAGCAAATAGTGAAAGGTAATTAGACCTAGCAAGATCATGGTAGGATTACGTTGTTGAACAAAACAAACGCAGCTTGAGAGCTGGTGAATTGAAATAATAAGTTCAAAACAGTTGAAACTGCTGGACACAGTTCCAGTTCTCTGTGGTTGGTGTTTTTTGTGTTTTTTTTTTTTTTTAAATTATGTTTTTATTTTATTGATGTGGCGTGGCTCTTGTTCATAGCTGGGGAAGATGGATCTAAGCTGTTCTCCCCATCCTGGGGCAGGATAAACTTTTGCTAAAGTACTCTTGACAGGTGTTTGTCTAACTTCTTGAAAACATCTGCTGAGATCCTCCAGCCTTCCTGGGCAATCTGTTCCAGTGATTGCCTTTGGGTTATTTTTCATAGAATCACAGAATGGTTTTGGTTGGAAAAGACCTTTAAGATCGAGTCCATCATGTCCAGTTTAATTAATCTCCTTCAGTGTTTGGTCCTTTGCCCATTGTCTTCCTCACCATGTAGCCACTTCACGAAGGAAGAGGTAGAGTTGGAGTAGTTGGCAAACCAAGGCTGCAGGAATACACCAAGCATTGAACAGGCATCTTCTTATACATAGCCTCTTTAATATTGAATTGGAAAGTCTTTCAGTGTGAACCTAAAAAGACAAAATGTGAGTTAAAAGTGAGAGAAAAATGAGTCATGGAGAGAGGGATTTGGTTCAAGTTTAAGACACCCAAATGTGTGTGTCTGTCTGTCTCCCATTATAGTCTAATGAGTTCTAATAAATACAGTCAATGGAGCCTTGAGGATGCTTCAGCTAACCTGCTGCCACAGCCATCTACACTCAGAATCACAGAATTGCAGCATGGTTTGGGTTGGAAGGGACCTTAAAGCTCCCCCAGTTCAACCTCCCATGGCCAGGGCCCCGTCCCCCTGCCCAGGCTGCTCCAAGCCCCGTCCAACCTGGCCTTGGGCACTGCCAGGGAGGGGGCACCCACAGCTTCTCTGGGCAACCTGGGCCAGGGCCTCACCACCTCACAGGGAAGAATTTCTTCCTAATATCCAGTCTAAATCTCGCTGCTTCTAGTTTAAAACCATTCCCCCTCGTTCTATTGCTACCTGCCCTTGTGAAAAGTCCCTTTCCAGCTTTCCTATAGGACCCTTCAGGAACTGGAAGGTCACTATAAGGTCCTTCTGGAGCCTTCTCCAGGCTGAACAGCCCCAACTCTCTCAGCTGGTCCTCGTAGAGGAGGTGCTCCAGCCTCTGATCATGATTGTGGCTCATTTAAGTGAGCTGGATTGATTTCTGGGCTCCCTTTGTGGTATTGATTAGAAGATCTCTGCTGGGAATAAAGCAAGCCTAGACACCCCCACTTAGGTGCCCAAGTGACTTCTACGTGGTGTATCTTAGAGATTTGCAGACACATGGCCAGTTACTCTACAGAGCGAGGCATGTCCTCTGGCTGGCCTGGGAAGGCAGATTGAGTGAGGATTTGCCTGTTTTGAGAGTCTCTCCTTTTCAGTATTATTTCCACACTATGTTCCAGGGTTCTTGTATTGTCTCAAACTATTATAGGTGTGTTCTTACAGTATCCTTTTCTTCAGAGAAGCCAAACACTTCTCAGCAGTATATAAAGCAACATGATTCATTTGTCTTATACTGTTGGCTTGTTCTTTCATCCCTAACCTAAGGGAGAGGAGAATCTTTTGGGGAATTATCCTCAAAGACTTTTGTTGCTTTTGTACTTCTTGCACGTGACTTTCAAATATTTAGTGGCTTGAGGCTTGGTGCATATCTACATTAATTTATCTATATTTTAAGCCAGTAATAGCAACAACAAAAACAGTTTATGTAAAAACAGAAGCTTGATTTTTTTCCTTGTACCGATATAGCGAGCTATAAAACATATGAAACATTTGAAGCCAGATCCTCAGCTGATCCAAGTTTGGTATTACTGTGGAGTTAAGTGGGTTATGCTGGTTTATAGGAGCTGTGGATAAGAATCACAGGAATTATCCAAGGATTTATCTTCTGGAGGCTGAAAATTCTTGAGATTCCACCCACACATTGACCTTTAGCAGCCACCTCAAGCAGCTCACCTTAAGATGAGCAGTGGAAGAGATGGGAAGATAGGAGCAATGTAGCTCCCTACAAAAACATTGAGAACCACTGTTGTCTAAGCTTACCCTCATAAAAATCTCAAGAAACAGTGATAGATATTTTCCAGCTCTAGCCAGAACTGAATGTTGTCTTTATTTTGAGGGAGAATATTGGGGCAGAGGTTGATGTGCATCCATGCAAATAGACTGCATGCTATGTTGCTCAGCCAGCAAGACCTTTTCATAGGACTTGTCCTTTTTGTCTGTCCCATTTTTCTCTACTAAAGATGTCTGTCTCCTACTTACTGACATCCACATACTGATTTTTATGCATTCAAGTGTTGTACTGAATAAATATTTGAGGTTATATCTTAGGCTCCTTAAGAGTTGTGCAGAGCTCATCCTTTCTGGGAACTGATCTTGGGTGTGTTGTACAAATTGACAGCTTCAGAAATGGGAGTCATTGCAGCTGCTTAACAGGCAGCTTTGCCATCCCAGTTTGCCACTCGCTTAGCATGTTTGTAATAGTTTAAACAAACTGGAGATGGCTGGAGGGGATGCTCATGTTCGCATTTCAGCTATTCATGTCTCAGAGAAAACTTCCAAATACTCTTTTGGGATGCTCTGAGATGGGAGAAGCTGTGAGAGCAGCTGGCAGGCGTGCACACAACATTGGTTGGAAAAATGTTGCGTGTGCTGTGACTTCCAGCTAAATCCATGGGGCACCATAATATTTATGGAGCAGGGAAATAGCATAGCACAAGGGGTATCTGTCACTTCACAAATGCACGATGACCAACAGTGATGCCAGATGCAGGCGATGGGCACGAGCGAGCAAGAAATAAGCAGAGGCTTGGGTGTAGTCACACGAACACTTCCCAAGTGATTCTCTCAGGGCCAGACGTGGAGTTTGGAGTGAGCAGATTCAACTTCCAAGCTGTACATTATTCGCTGGACTGCGCAGGAAGCTTGTTCCCAGCTGTCACGGCTGCATTTCGGTAGGGAAGATTGCCAGTAGCCTGTTAGAGCCTGTTTATGTTGGGAATATTGCAGATGTCCTACTTCTCTCTCTCATCTTGTGAATTCAACTCCATCACCACTGCTGCTGCGTGTGTACATGCCGGGGAGAGGAGCGGGGAGCATGTGTCCTTGTGTTTATGTATCATGCAGACTCACACAGAATGTCAGGAGTTGGAAGGGACCTTGAAAGCCCATCCAGTCCAACCCCTGCCAGAGCAGGATCACCCAGACCAGGTCACACAGGAACGCGTCCAGGCAGGTTTTGAATGTCTCCAGAGAAGGAGACTCCACAACCTCTCTGGGCAGCCTGGGCCATGCTCTGACACCCTCACAGTGAAAAAGTTTTTCCTCATATTCAGATTGAGCCTCCTGTGATCCAGCTTGCACTCATTGCCCCTTGTCCTGTCATTGGACATCACAGAGCAGAGCCTGGCTCCTTCCTCCTGACACTCGCCCTGTACAAATTGGTAACCATGATTGAGGGCACCCCTCAGTCTCCTCTGTTCGAAGCTAAAGAGACCCAGCTCCCTCAGCCGCTCCTCAGCAGGAGATGCTCCACTCCCTCCATCATCTTTGTGGCTCTGCACTGGACTCTTTCAAGCAGTTCCTGTCCTTCTTGAACTGAGGGCCCAGAACTGGACACAATATTGCAGATATTGTCTGACTAGGGCAGGGCACAGCAGAGAGGAAGGAGAACCTCTCTGCCCTACAACCACCCCTTCTCATACACCCCAGGATGCCATTGTCCTTAGGGCACATTGCTGGCTCATGATCATCCTGTTGTCCACTAACACCCCCAGGTCCTTTGAGATGAGCCTTCACAACAGGGCACATCTCACCTGACATTGCATCCATGTGACTAACTTCCTACCCAGCACCATCCTACGCAGCTCTCATTTAGCTCTTTGGTTTTTTTTTTAATATTCCTTCTTATGTTTTTATTGTCATCAAATCCAGATTTAGAGGCAAGTAGGACTTCTGGGGAATTTTATTACTGCTGTTATCGGTTCTTCTCCATTTTCAATGATTCATTTGCATGTTGAGGTATCCCAAAGTGTCTCAGGTTTCCACTTCTTTCTTCATAGTTTCTAGCTGCAGCTGCAAAGTTCTCACTTCATTTTACTGTAAATTTAGCTTTAAAAAACAAGCATGGACCCCACAAAATAATTTGCAAGAAAGGTTCCTTGGCTATCATGCAGGACTTTCTTTTTTCCTTCTGTTTGACAAGATGATAATGAAAAGGAACAAATGAGACCGTTGTGTGCAAATCTGGTAAACACCGAGTAGTGGGAACATTCCTGCAGTTTATGGTTTGGCACCTTAGGCCGCTTCTGCTACAGATTGCCTTAAAAACCAGGGCTTGCTGACTGTAGGGAGGATGAGTGAAAACAGCCTGGGTGTGATTGAACTGGAAATGTGATTATTTAGTATTTTGTCAAGGCTCCCACAGTATCTCCCGCTTTCAAGCTTGAGGCTGTTCAGTAGAGGAGTGCCAAGTGAAGTGGAAAAGTTAAACCTTGCCTCTAGTGGCAGAGGGCTCGGTTGTTGCAAAACTTCGATCGCATTGAAAATCCTGAAGGAAACAGAATAAAAATTTGTACAGAAGATGAGCCTTGCAACTGCTTTCAAAAACCCTCTCGGAATTAAGATAAGTTGCTTGGTTTTTGGCTGTTACTTCAGTGTCTTTGCTGTTTTTATTTTCCTGTAGGGGGGTACTGAAGTACCAGACCAACTTAGAGGAACACCCTCCTGGTTGCTTTAATCCGAACAAAACGCTCCGGCAAAATTTGATGGTGCTGAAGGCTTCTGAAGAGCTGTTTCCTGCCTATACTATGGAGCCTTTCCCAGAGGACTTAACACTACCAGAACCCTTTGTTCAAAATAACTTTATGAGAATTTGTTCTGAGGAACCCAAGTTCCAGTCACACTTCCCAGAGGTCTGTATGATCCGACGTTTCAGGTATTACAAGCCATGCCAAGTCTTTCAGTCAGCCATAACCACTAATTATTGCTTTTCCAGACCAGATGTTTTAATAACGGAAAATATTGTTAAAACCTTCTCAGGCATTCAAAGATTTGGTGGTGGTGGTGGTGGGG